TTAATTTTGATGATGTCCACTTTATATTTTCTTTTGTTACTTGTTACTTTTGGTATCATATCTAAGAAACCTAATTCAAGGTCACAAAGACTTACTCCTATGTTTTCTTCTAAGAGTTTTTTTTTTTTTTTTTTTTTGAGACAGTCTTGTCTGTCACCAGGCGCCAGGCTGGAGTGCAGTGGCGGGATCTCGGCTCACTGCAACCTCCGCCTCCTGGGTTCAAGCAATTGAACCTGCCTCAGCCTCCCGAGTAACTGGGACTACAGGCACGTATCACCATACCCAGCTAATTTTTGTATTTTTGGTAGATACAGGGTTTCACCATGTTGGCCAGGATGGTCTTGATCTCTTGACCTTGCGATCTGCCTGCCTTGGCCTCCTAAAGTGCTGGGATTACAGGCATGAGCTACTGTGCCTGGCCTCTTCTAAGAGTTTTATGGTTTTAAGTTTTACATTTAGGTCTTTGATCCATTTTGAGTTAATTTTTATATATATGGTATAAACTAGAGGTTCAGCTTCATTCTTTTGCATGTAGATAATCCAATTTTCCCAGCACCATTTGCTGAAAAGACTACCCTTTTCCCATTGAATTTTCTTGGTACCCTTGTCAAAATTCTATTGAACATAACTGAGGGTTTATTTCTGGACATTTCTATTCCATGGAGAAAGATACTACTCTATATCAGGTGACAAGGAAAGGTCTCTCTGAGGTGACATTTAAGCAGAATGCTGAATGTAATTAGGAAGTGAAGCATACTGATATCTGGGGAACAACATTCCAGGTTATAGGAATAGTAAGTGCAAAGACCATGAGATAGGAGTGTAACTGGTATCTTTGAGGTAAGGAGGCCAGTGTAGCTTGAGTGGAAGAGCAAAAATATGAGATGAGATCAAAGAAATGAGGGAGGAGGGCTGGTAGGCCATGTAGGACCATGACTAGGACTTTGTCTTTTACCCTATGTAAGGCTGGAAGCCACTGGAGGCTTTTGAGTAGAGAAGCCATGATTTGACTTGCCTAAAAAAAAAAAATTACTCTGGGTGCTGTATGAAAAATAGATTATAGCTGCATATGGTGGCTCACACCTGCAATCCCAGCACTTTGGGAGGCCAAGTTGGAAGGATTGCTTGAGCACAGGAGTTCAAGACCAGCCTGGGCAACATAGTGAGACCCCATCTCTACAAAATTAAATTAGCCAGGCATGGTGACACATGCCTGTAGTCTCAGTTACTTGGGAGGCTAAGCTAATGACAGGAGGATCGCTTGAGCCTAGCAGGTTGAGGCTGCAGTGTGCCATGAGCACACCACTGCACTCCAGCCTGGGTAACAAAGTAAGACCCTGTCTTTTTTTTTTTTTTTTTTTTTTTTGAGTCTTGCTCTGTTGCTCAGGCTGGAGTGCACTCAACTCACTGCAACCTCTGCCTCCTGAGTTCAAGCAATTCTCCTGTCTCAGCCTCCTGAGTAGCTGGGATTACAGGTACACACCACCACATCTAGCTAATTTTTATATTTTTAGTAGAGATGGGGTTTCACCATGTTGGTTAGGCTAGACTCGAACTCCTGACCTCATGATCCACCTACTTCGGCCTCCCAAAGTGCTGGGATTACTGGCATGAGCCATTGTGCCTAGCCAGACCCTGCATTAAAAAAAAAAAAAAAAAAGGTGGGAGGTAGGAGAGACTGGAAATTTATGCCAATAATCGAGGCAAGAAGTGACAAAAGTACAGTAATCTAGTGGTGAAGGTGGTAAGAAATGGTAGAATGCTGGATAATTTTTCAAGGTACGAATATAATAAAAAGAAGTCAATGGAAATAGTATCGTTTTTGGCCTGAGCAACTAAAAGGATAGAGTTGCTATTTATGAATATGTGGAAGACAGCAGAAGGAACAGATGTGGAGGTCTATGTCAAGGAGTCAGGAGTTTAATTTTAGGCATGTTAAGTTTGAGATATCAATTAGACAAAAAATATCAGGCCATTTAGTATGCAGATCTGGAATTGGGAGAAAGTATCAGTTGTTAGTGTTAAAGCCTTGAGAGTGAATGAAGTCACCTAATAAGCTAATACCAATCGAAAGGAGAAGAGATACTAAGTCTGAGCCTAAGGGCACTCTAATGAAGTTGGTGAGGTGAAAAGGAACTGGCAAAAGTGACTTTAAAAAACCCTGGTATCCTCAAACCCAAGTGGAGACAGCGTTTCAGGAAGAAATGAGGGATAATGTCAAATCCTGCTAAGTTGAGTAGATTGAGGACTAATAATTAACCTTTGGATTTGGCCATATAGAGATATTTGGTGCCCTAACGAGTTTCTACAGAATGATGGGAAAAAGACTTTATATAACAGGTTCAAAGCAGAGAGAGAATACAAGCAATTCTTCCAAGAGTTTAGTTACGAGGGAAGCAAAGAAGAGAAATGTAGTGGTAGCTGGGGGATAAAGTTTTTGTTGTTTTTATTGATGGACATCTTAGTGTAATTCTGTATTCTGATGGCAGTGACCCAATAAAATTTAAAAAGTGAAATGCTGGAAAGGGGACAATTACTGGAATGTGATGTCCTTGAGAAGGTAAGAAAAGATGAGATCTAGTGCACAAATAGACTTGGACAGGAACAAAGATCATTCTTTCACAGTAACACAAGGAAGGCAGAATATATGGGTACGCATGTAGGTAGGATAAACAATAAAATGTGAGCATACTGACAGTCTGTTCTACTGCTTCTGTTTTCTCAGTAAAAGAGAATAATGCATGATTGTTGTAATTTAAGTGTGAAGACAGAGATGGGAGATATTAGAAATGTACTAGATGTTTCACTTCATTACATTTGCAGTTTATTGTTTAGACAATAGAGAGGCAAATAAATAATCACAAATTTTGTTCAGTGATATAGAAGGAAACAAAGTATTGTGATAAGGATAAAGGAACTAAATTCATTTAAATAAGGTGACCTTTTTGAAGAGGAAATAAGTTCCATTAATCTTTTTAAAAATGTTGATATAAATTTGGGTGGTGCCGGGCGCCGTGGCTCAAGCCTGTAATCCCAGCACTTTGGGAGGCTGAGGCGGGTGGATCACGAGGTCAAGAGATCGAGACCATCCTGGTCACATGGTGAAACCCCGTCTCTACTAAAAAAAATACAAAAAATTAGCTGGGCATGGTGGCATGTGCCTGTAATCCCAGCTACTCAGGAGGCTGAGGCAGGAGAATTGCCTGAGCCCAGGAGGCGGAGGTTGCGGTGAGCCGAGATCGTGCCATTGCACTCCAGCCTGGGTAACAAGAGCGAAACTCCGTCTCAAAAAAAAAAAAAAAAAAATTTGGGTGGTGGCGGTGTGAAAAAAATGTTGATAAATTTTAAAATTATGAAAAAGCATTAGGAATAATATAACAAACATCTATATTCCTACTGCCCAGAATTAATAGATGTAATATTTCTATTTTTGCTTCAAGCCTTTTTTTATTTTTATTTTTTTTGGGACAGGGTCTTCCTCCATTGCTGAGGCTGGAGTGCAGTGGCATGATCACAGCTCACTGCAGCCTGAACTTCCTGGACTCAGGTGATTCTCCCACTACAGCCTCCCAAGTAGCTGGAACTACAGATGTGCACCACCACCCCTACCTAATTTTTTTGTATTTTTTGTAGAGACAGGGTTTCACCATGTTACCCAGGCTGGTCTTGAGCTCCTGGACTCAAGCGATCCAGACACCTTAGCCTCCAAAAGTGCTGGGATTACCTGTGTGAGCTACTATGCCCAGCTGCCCTTTTTAAATTAAAAGAAATAATATAGTTTCTAGTAGATATTTACTAAGTACTCATTAAATCAATATATAAATGAATAAGTTAATTCTATCAAAACTTAAGATTTGCAAAGTGCATCAAGTAGCCCACATTTATCAAACTTTTCTGAACTAATACTAGAGCTTACAGTGGCCACTGCTTTCCATTTAATTTTCTACTCTAGAATTTTTCTGTAGTTTGAAATACTGACCTTATTGAAAACCAGAACATTTGATAAAATAACTGTTAAATTTTTAGTGTCCTGCTGATTTGTCCTAATAAGATTTCTTTTTTTTTTTTTTTTTTGAGACAAGGGTTTCGCCATGTTGGCCAGGCTGGTCTCCAGCTCCTGACCTCATGGTTCACCTGCCTTGGCCTCCCAAAGTGCTGGGATGGCAGGCGTGAGCCGCTGCTCCTGGACTTGTCCTAATAAGATTTGGCATCAAGAAAACAATATATTCTATGTGAAAAGAGTTATGATTTTAAAGAATATTTAAATTGTATACCATTTAATATATGTGTTTCAATTTTGGGAACCTGAAATTTCACTAACTTTATTGAACAGAAATTATCATTCAACTCCAGTGTTATTGTAATCCTAAATAAGATATTTTGGTCTGTTCATATCACCCTTTTTTGATATATTTATGATATAGACATAAGAAGTACATTAAAAGTACTTACTATAGAAATAGGCTGCTCTGAAAAAAGAAATGACAATTTTTTGTTTGTTTTTGAGATGAAGTCTCATTCTGTCACCCAGTCTAGAGTGCAGTGGCACCATCTCAGCTCACTGCAACCTCTGCCTCCTGGGTTCAAGTGATTCTCCTGCCTCAGCCTCCCAGGTAGCTGGGATTACATGCACCTGCCACCATGCTTGGCTAATTTTTGTATTTTTAGTAGAGATGAGGTTTTACCATGTTGGCCAGGCTGATTTTGAACTCCTGCCTGACCTTAGGAGATCCACCTGCCTCAGCTTCTCAAAGTGCTGGAATTACAGGCGTTAGCCACTGAGCCCAGCCAGCAGTTTTTAATTATGGTGATAATAAGACAGCAACATTGTAATACACAAGTTGTATTCATGGTAATGATCAATGGTCTACTCTACATATACAAAAACAAAACAAAACAAAAAACAGAATACCAAAACATTAGAAGCACATCAAAAAAAATTGATAATTAGATAAACAGAAAACAAAGATTACATATATAAAGCATTTTAAAATTCTTACCTCCTCACAGCATCGTCTGCTTACAATAGCCCTATAGTCAATTCTATCCCAGAGCTGGTCCCTTAACTTTAAGAAATTAGGGAACAATCTTCTCCAGTTTTTCCCTAAAGCCCATGGAAAAATTTCATACTTGGTTTCTTCTTCATCTTCTTCAACTGTATTGGCCAGATACCTAACAAAGAAGATCACAACCCAAAAAAGAAACGGGTAAAAGACAGAAATAGGTCATTTATACTAACGAAAAGACATAAGAGTGACTGAAAAACACATGAAAGGTGTTCAACCTCACTTAAGGCAATGCAGTTCAAAAATAGAGACATAGTTAATTTTATCTTGTTGGATTCTAGGTATTTCTTATTCCTATAAATCTTGAGCTTTGTTCTTGGATGCAGTTAAAGTTACTTTGAAATAATCTGATCCTTTCAGATGTTGCTTTTATGATTTTTTAGGTGGATCTGGAGCAATGTTCAGTCTGGGGCTAGTTATTCCTCACTACTGAGGCAAGATCTTTTCAATGCTCCATGAATTATAAATCTTTTCAGCCTGGCTGGTGGGAACAGGCACTATTTGCAGCCCTATGTGAATGCTAGGCATCTTTCCTCCTAATCTTTTCTTAACATCTTTCCCCAGATTCAGGTAATTTTCTTACACACATATGAAACTCGGTATTCTGCTAAATACTTGAGGGGGACCAGCCATGCACAGAAGCAGGAAAACATGACTCATCATAAGGAGAATAAGAAATCAAAATCGGTCGGGCACAGTGGCTCTTGCCTGTAATCCCAGCACTTTGGGAGGCGAGGCGGGTGAATCACGAGGCCAGGAGTTCAAGATCAGCCTGGCCAAGATAGTAAAACCCCATCTCTACTAAAAACACACACAAAAAATAGCCAGGTATGGTACCACACACCTGTAGTCCCAGCTACTCAGGAGGCTGAGGTGGGAGAATCGCTTGAACCCGAGAGGTGGAGGTTGCATTGAGCCAAGACCTGTGCCATTGCACTCCAGCCTGCGCAACAGAGCAAGACTCTGTCTCAAAAAAAAAAAAAAAAAAAAAAAGAAAAGAAAAAAGAAATCAAAATCAACCCAAAACTGATACCCATGGTTGACATAAAAGATAAGGACACAGGCCGGGCGCGGTGGCTCAAGCCTGTAATCCCAGCACTTTGGGAGGCCGAGGCGGGTGGATCACGAGGTCAAGAGATCGAGACCATCCTGGTCAACATGGTGAAACCCCGTCTCTACTAAAACTACAAAAAATTAGCTGGGCATGGTGGCGCGTGTCTGTAATCCCAGCTACTCAGGAGGCTGAGGCAGGAGAATTGCCTGAACCCAGGAGGCGGAGGTTGCGGTGAGCCGAGATCGCGCCATTGCACTCCAGCCTGGGTAACAAGAGCGAAATTCTGTCTCAAAAAAAAAAAAAAACCAAAAAAAAGATAAGGACACTTAAACTGTTATAACTATTCTGTCTGTTCAAAAACTTAAGTACATATTGAAAATATACTTCTAGAGATGAAAACTACAATGTGTACAATGAAAAATACACTGATTAGGATTAATGGCAGATTAAATACCACAAAGAAAACATCTGTGAATTGAATACATAACAGAAACTATTAAAGATGAAATACACAGAATAAAGAGAAACAAAAATCATCAACAGAGCATCAGTGCCAGTGCAGGCTCACACCTATAATCTCAGAACTCTGGGAGGCCAAGGTGGGTGGATTGCTTGAGGTCAGGAGTTCAAGACCTGCCTGGCCAACAAGGTGAAACCCCATGTCTACTAAAAATACAAAAATTAGCTGGGCATGATGGGCCGTGCCTTTAATCCCAGCTACTTGGGAGGCTGAGGCAGGAGAATCGCTTGAACTTGGAGGCAGAGGTTACAGTGAACCACTGAGATTGTGCCACTGCACTGCAGCGTGGGTGACAGCAGAAGACTCTGTCTCAAAAAAAAAAAAAAAAAAAAAAAAAAAAAGAAAGAAAAGAAAAGAAAAAGAAATTAAATTAATAAACAGCATCAGTTTGATGTGGGACTTCAATAAATAGGTGGAACTGGAGACTCTGACAGCCAGTATCAATAACAATGCAGGACTCTTTTGATGCCCTGTAATCTGAAAAGGTCAGACAGAAAATCAGGTGGACAGAAGACATTTGAAGGAATAACAGCTGAAAGTTTTTGAAATTTAATAAAAACTATAAACCTACAAAGAAGTTTAATGAACTTCAGAGCACATGAAACATGAAGAAAATTAAACCAATAAACAGCATAATCAAATTGCTCAAAACCAGTGATAAAGAGCAGATCTTAAAAGTAGTAAGAGAAAAAATAAGGATGGGTTAGAGTTCTCATTGGAAATAATACAAATCCCACAGATGACTTCCAAGAAAAACGGTCAACTTACAATAAAAATATTACAAAACACGTAAGGGAACAAGATACCAAGAGCATAAACAGATACTGGAAAAGACACAAAAATATAAGAATATTTATCTCCGGCCGGGTGCAGTGGCTCACGCCTGTAATCCCAGCACTTTGGGAGGCCGAGGCGGGTGGATCACGAGGTCAAGAGATCGAGACCATCCTGGTCAACACGGTGAAACCCCGTCTCTACTAAAAATACAAAAAATTATCTGGGCATGGTGGCGCGTGCCTGTAGTCCCGGCTACTCGGGAGGCTGAGGCAGGAGAATTGCCTGAACCCAGGAGGCGGAGGTTGCGGTGAGCCAAGGTCACGCCATTGCACTCCAGCCTGGGTAACAAGAGCAAAACTCCGTCTCAAAAAAAAAAAAAAAAAAAAAAAGAATATTTATCTCCAGTACATATAAAAAAATTAAAAGTACCTTGATAATATGATAAATGGATAACTATATTTGAAAAATAAGAAAACAACTTTTATAAACAGAAAATTTTATAATGAAATTAACTAGCATATTGGACATAAGATGAAGATAAAATCAGTGAACTGAAAGATAAATCTAAATAAATGATCCAAAATGCAGCCCAAAGGAACATGGATAGAAAATAGCAAAGATGGGGATGGGTGCAGTGGTAGCTCATGCCTGTAATCCCAGCACTTTAGGAGGTCAAGGCAGGTGGATTGGTTGAGTTTAGGAGTTTGAGACCCTGCCTGGGCAACATGGAGAAATTCTGTCTCTACAAAAAAATACAAAATTAGCTGGGTGTGGTGGTGCATGCCTGTGTCCCCAGCTATTTGAGAGGTTGAGGTGGGAGAATTGCTTGATCCCTAGAGGTGGAGATTGCGGTGAGTTGAGATCACACCACTGCACTACAGCCTAGAGTGAGACTCTGAGGAAGGAAGGAAAGAAGGAAAGGAAGGAAAGGAAGGAAGGAAGGAAGGAAAGAAGGGGAAGGGGAAGGGGAAGGGGAAGGGGAGGAGGGAGGGTGGGAAAAAGAAAAAAGCACTCCAGCCTAGAGTGAAACTCAAAGAAAGAAAGAGAGAGAGAGAGAGAAAGAATGAAAGAAAGAAAGAGAAACAAGAAAGAAGTGAGGGAGGGAGGGAGAGAGAGAAGAGAAAGAGAAAGAGAGAAAGAAGAAAGAGAGAGAAAGAAAGGGAAGAAAGAAGTAGGTGAGGGAGGAAGGGAGGGAGGGAGATAAGAGAGAGAGAAGGAAAAAGAAAGAAAAAGAAAAAAGATCAAAGGTAAGTGATGTGGAAGACTGAGTGAGGCATAACAAGTTTAACTGGTTTCAAAAGGAGATAGCAGAGGAAGGGGAATATTTGAAGACAGTGGATAGAATTTTCTGAGTTGTCTGTTGAAAGGCATCAATCTTCAGGTCAGGCATGGTGGCTCATGCCTGTAATCCCAGCACTTTGGGAGGCTGAGGTGGGTGGATCACCTGAGGTCGGGAGTTCAAGGCCAGCCTGGCCAATATGGTGAAACCCCATCTCTACTAAAAATACAAAAATTAGCTGGGCATGGTGGCTAATTTTTGTATTTTTAATACCTGTAATCCCAGCTACTCATGAGAATTGAACCAGAGGCGGAGGCTGCAGTAAGCCGAGATGGCACCACTGCACTCCAGCCTGGGTAACAGAGCAAGACTGTCCCAAAAAACAAAAACAAAAACAAAAACAAAAGGGCTCAGGCTGGGCCCTGGGGCAGTTGGCAGCAACACCCCCTGGCATCAGCTGAGTCCCGGGGGGGAAAAAAAGAGAGAGAGAGAGAAAGAGAGAGAAAAAAAGTAAAAAAACAAAAACAAAAAAAATCCATCCTTAATCTTCAAATCCAGAAAGCTTACCAAATCCCAAGCAGGTTATTAAAAAGAAACCAGTGCCAAACACCAAAGAAAAAGAGGTCTTAAAAGCAGCCAGAAGGCCAAGTGTATGGCTCATGCCTGTAATTCCAGCACTTTGGGAAGCCGAGGTGGGCGGATGGCTTGAAATCAGGAGTTTCAGACCAGCCTGAGCAACATGGGAAAACTTCATCTCTACAAGAAAAAAAAAAATTAGCCAGCTGTGGTAGTGTGAGCCTGTCGTCCCCGCTACTGTATTGAGGAGGCTAAGGCAGGAAGATCACTTGAACCCTAGAGGCAGAGGTTGTGGTGAGCCAAGATCATGCCATTGCACTCCAATTTGGGTGACAGAGTGAGACCCTGTCTTAAAAAAAAAAGAAAAAAAAATTAAGAACCTCCCATATGTTGGTAATCGGAGGATGAAATAACGAGTTTTATGTTCCTTGCCCATAAGGAGCCTACAATTAAGTAGAGAAGGCAAGAAGTATGAAACAAATAATTCTGAAAGGGAAGATGGAAGAAGAATAATAGAAGTTCAGAGTCTAAAGGAGGATGGGCACGGTGGCTCACGCCTGTCACACCAGCACTTTGGGAGGCCAAGGAGGGTGGATCATGAGGTCAGGAGATCAAAGCCATCCTGGCTAACACGGTGAAACCGCATTTCTAATAAAAATTAAAAAAAAAAAATTAGCTGGGCGTGGTGGCATGCGCCTGTAATTTCAGCTACTTGGAAGGCTTAGGCAGGAGAATCACCTGAATGTGCAGTTGAGTTCAACTACACGGACGTTGTAGTGAGCGGAGATTGCACCACTGCACCACTCCAGCCTGGGTGACAGAGCAAGACTGTTTAAAAAAAAAAAAAAAAAAAAAAAGAATATACAGAAAGGAAACATTGTAAGAAACTAAGTAGAAAGGAAAAGAACTTGAGCTTCAGAACTATGGCTGAAATATTTAATGAGGAGAACTATTGAGTCCATACAAAAAGTATGATTAGGCTTAAAATGGAAATTATAAGCTTTAATATGGAGCTTATATAATACAACATGCAATAAAATCTGACAGATAATGGTATTGCATAAACTGACTCGTGCTCTACTGATAATAACTTCACAAAACAAAACATTCATTTTCAGGCATCTAGTAAGATTTAAACTAAAGCTTCTTTTGGTTTATTTTTAATTCTCAGGTAAAAAAAAACTACAAAATAAATATTGCATCAACATACAGATACAATACTGAGATATATAAATGCAATTTAACTTAGTGGTCGATGGCTGAATTTGGTCATTGATAAACCACTCCTGAGTTTGTGCCTCTGCTTTGCTGCTTACTAACTTGTTTGCTCTTAGAAAGTACTTAGTCTTCGGCCGGGCACGGTGGCTCACCCCTGTAATCCCAGCACTTTGGGAGGCCTAGTTGGGTAGATCACAAGGTCAGGAGTTTGAGATCAGCCTGGCCAACATGGTGAAACCCCGTCTGTACTGAAAATACAAAAATTAGCCAGGCATGGTGGTGGGCACCTGTAATCCCAGTTACTTGGGAAGCTGAGACAGGAAAATCACTTGAACCCAGGAGGCAGAAGTTGCAGTGAGCTGAGACCAAGCCATGCCACTCCAGCCTGACTGACAGAGCAAGACTCCATCTCGAAACAAAACAAAACAAAACAAAACAAAACAAAACAAAACAAAGTACTTAATCTTCCTAAGTCTCAGTTTCCTCATCTGTAAAACAGGGATAATACAAAATTTCATAGGGAAGATTAAATGAGTTAATATTATATTAAAATTTTTTGTGGTGCCTTGCACATAATACTCAGTACTAGCTAATACTATTCTATTTTTCCAATTTGGCAATTGTACCCAATTTTGAGTTCATTTTTCCTTATGTACTTGAAAATGTATCTCCTGAATACGTGTAGAAATCAGTTTCTTCTAGTCCTATTTTTTTTTCTTTCTTTTTCTTCTGACAGTGTTTTTGCTCTGCTGTCCGGGTTTGAATACAGTAGTGATCAAAGCTCATTGCAGCCTTGAACTCCTGAGCTCAAGTGATCCTCTTCATCTCAGCCTCCCAAGTAGCTAGCACTACAGGCACATGCCACCATGCCTGGCTATTTTATTTTTGTAGAGACTTGCTATGTTTTCCAGGCTGGTCTTGGACTTCTGGCCTGAAGCAATCCTCCTGCCCCAGCCTCCCAAAATCCTGGGATTACAGTCATGAGACACTGTACCCAGGTTAGTCCTATTTCTTTAATAAGTCTTTGATTCTGAATTAAATACACCTTGAGTAAAAACTTATTCTTCAGTGCTGACAGCTGTTGTGGTATTCAACTTAAATATGTTTTATATGTGTTCTCTGGTTAAACACTTAAAATTATATTCATGTGGCTGGGTGTGGTGGCTTACGCCTGTAATCCTAGCACTTTGGGAGGCTGAGGTGAGTGGATCACTTGAGGTCAGGAGTCTGAGATCAGTCTGGCCAACATGGTGAAACCCAATCTCTACTCAAAATTCAAAAAATTAGTTTGGTGTGGTACCAGGCTCCTATAATCCCAGCTACTTGGGAGGCTGAGGCAGGAGAATCACTTGAACCCAGCAGGTGGAGGTTGCAGTGAGCCAAGATTGCACCACTGCACTCCAGCCTGAGTGACAGAGTGAGACTCCATCTCAAAAATATGTGTATATATATATATATATATATTCACACATTCCCAACTGCAGCATTATATCCAAATATATATATGTATGTGTGTGTTTACATATACATACACACACACACTTTTTTCTGAAATGGAGTCTCACTCTACCTCCCAGGCTGGAGAGCAGTGGTGTGATTTTAGCTCACTCACTGCAAACTTCACCTCCTGGGTTCAAACAATTCTCCTGCCTCAGCCTCCTGAGTAGCTGGGATTATAGGTGCCCACCACCATGCCCGGCTAATTTTTATATTTCTAGTAGAGAGGAGCTTTCACCATATTGGCCAGGCTGGTATCAAACTCTCGACCTGCCTTGGACTCCCAAAATCCTGGGATTACAGGTGTGAGCCACCACACCTGGCCAGAAATATATTCTTAAATTATACCAATTCTAAAAGAATTCTGATCTATAGATTGAAAAACCATTTCACAGATTACAATGATAATATAAACTAATATAAAGTCAATGGAAGAATGGAAAACAAACCGTATTCCTTTGTCACAGCTCAGTGTGTTTAGTAAAGAAGCCAGTGAATACTAAAGGTATCAAATATGGATAATGGCTATGTTGTAGATATAGATCCACAAAGACTATGTTTAGAGCATTTTCCACAAGTTGTTCAATGTAAAAGGGGAACGATGATAGTGATTTTTACTATATATTAATTGAAAATTTCAGAGAATATTCTGGTTTTAAAAAATATCTAAGTCACAAAGAGGAGAATTTGGGATAATTTATACAGAAGCATTCTGGAAAATGTAAAACATCCAGTACAGACTGAAGTGGAATACTGAACAAGAAATATTAGCCATATAGCATGATAAGGTAAATGAAAAAAGCATAAAAATATCCTAATAAAGTAAAGAATGTATAGCATTTATACAGGACTATTCAAAGATATACATAAGGTTTTAAACGGCCTCTGTTTTAAATAAGGTGTCATATATATAATAGATAACACAAAAATCACTTAGTATAAAATATACTTACAGAGCAATAAAGAAATTTATCCTGGTATGCTCACTTATAGTAAATTTAGCCCTCTTGAAATAAACAAAGGTCATAGCCAAAAGATACTATAAGGAAAAAAGTTAAAAATTAATATTTTGCTTTCATAAATAAAACTGCTTTAAAATAGTTAACTTAAAATTTTCTGATGAATATGCTAAAACAATAAAGTGTTACTTATTACATAATTGTGTACTTACATTTTGGCTTCCTGTAATCCACCATGTGAACAGCGAAAAGTAGTTGTTGACTATTTTTTATATCATTATTAACTAGAATGGACTCCTAAGCTTTATTATAGCCAATAGTTTTTTGAGCTAAAAATCCCACTTTTATCTAATTTAAATTTCAAACCTATAGAGAAATTGAACAGCAAAATGAATAGCCATGCATCCTAACTTAGATCCACCAAATTTGCCATGTTTAATACCTCTATCTGTGTATATGTCTGTGTATATATAATTTTTTCTAAGCCCTTTTAGTTGCAGACATCCATACTCATTTTTTAAAATAACTTTTAAAAATGACTTCCAAATGACTTCAGAAATTAGAATCACAAGGCTCTATTTTCATGGGCAGACTGTGTTTTAAATGTATTATTAAGAGAGATACATCTCTAGCCTGATATTAGAATATATGCCAGGTTCTGTCCAAATTAAAAACAAGTTATAATAATGTATCAGATTATCTCTCATAAGACATTTATTCATCCTATTGTAACAGGATTTGCCACAAAGGTGATACCAAGTTTTCACAGTAACTTCAGTAAAGGATTCTGGGAGTAGTGTTAAGATACCCCTGGTTAGTTACTTTTCAAACACTGCCCCCTTCTGTGCAGCAACTTTAACGCACCTTAAAACCACAAAGTTTAAAACCATGACTCCACATAAATTGGATATTTGATATTACAGCATTATTGTTTTAAACCACAAAGTTTAAAATCATGACTCCACATGAATTGGATATTTGATATTACAGCATTACTGTTGATTTTTTTAAAGTGTCATGACATGGTAATTATTTTAAAATATCCCTTAACTTTTAGTGATACATTATGAAATGTTTATGGATAAAATGTCAGAAAGTCTGGGATCATCCTCAAAATAATCCAGTTTTTGGTGAAAAGCATTAGAAAAAACAAGAATGGTCACAGTTGATGATCTGTTGTAGCTACATGAGAGGCACATGGAGGCTCTTTGCTCTATTCTATTTACTTTAAATTGTGTATGTTTTAAATTTCCCAAAATGAAATTTAGAAAACTTTATAAACCTTCTTCTAGTGTATCCCTGTCATCTTAAGCTTAAGTAAAAATGTTCACCCCAGTACTAACTTTGTGAGTATAATCATAAGCTAACCTTCCATTCATTCCCTTTACTGTTGGCTAGCAGTGATGTAAAGTCACGCTTAATTTTCAAATGTGACTGCCTGGTATAAAAAGGCATTTACAAAGCTGAAAATTCTTAGACTAGATAGCATGAGGAAGTTTTCTCTAAAAGAAAAAAATTGAAAAATATAAAGCTGGAATTTTATTTCATTATTTATTTATTTATTTTTGAGACAGAGTCTTGCTCTGTCACCTTGGCTGGAGTCCAGTGGCACAGTCTTGGCTCACTGCAACCTCTGCCTCCTGCAATCAAGCAATTCTCTTGTATCAGCTTCCCGAGTAGCTGGGACTATGGGTGCAGGCCAACATAGTCCAGTTAATTTTTGTATTTTTTAGTAGACAAGGGGTTTCTCCATGTTGGTCAGGCTGGTACTGAACTCCTGACCTCAGGTGATCCACCCGCTTCAGTCTCCCAAAGCACTGGGATCACAGGTGTGTGACACAAAGCTGAAATTTTAACCATTCAACAAAATCTAAAGAACATAGAAACATTGCTGCTCCCAGTGTGTAAGTTAGACATTCTTTTATAAAACACTGATTCCTAAAGAACATGTTAAACTAATTTTACCTTACAAAATTACTTAGATTTCTTTTCTGAGTTACTTACAAAATATTAAAATGCAGACTGCCTTAGTAAAGTAAATCTCAAGAATATTTTTTCTCCACAGCCTGATAAAAGGTAATAACTGATCAAAATGCATTGTCTGTAGTGATTTTTTGTTTGTGGTTTTTTGGTTTTTATTTGTTTCTGAGACAGGGTCTTGCTCTGTCGCCCAGGTTGGAGTGCAGTGGTGGTATCACAGCTCACTACAGCCTTCACCTACCCGGCTCAAGCAATCATCCTGCCTCAGCCTCCTGAGTAGTTGGGATTACAGGTGTGAGTTACCATGCCCAGCTATTTTTTTTTTTTTTTTGTATGGAGCCCAAGTCTTCCTATGTTGCCAAGCCTAGGAACTCCTGGGCTTAAGTGATCCTCTTGCCATGGCCTTCCAAAGTGTTGAAAATTCAGGTGTAAGCCGACACACTTGTTTTGTTTTCCAATCGGATATAGATTTAAGGTCATTTAAATGTAATCAATAATATTCTATAATTCCTCAAGTATAGGCTAAATCTATGCTATGTGCTAATTCCAGAAATTAATGTGTAAGGATTCTGCTTTGAAGGAACAGTGCAGGCTAGCTCTTTTTAAAATTTTAACTTAATTAATTAATTTAGAGACAAAGTCTTGCATTCCAGTTGTCCAGGCTGGAATGCAGTGGCACAATCGATCATAGCTCACTGTATCCTCTAACTCCTGGGTTCAAGCGATCCTCCTACCTCAGCGGGGTGGCTGGGACTACAGGTGCATGCCACCACGCCTGGTTAATTTTTAATTTTTTTGTAGAGATAGGGGTCTCACTATGTTGCCCAGGCTGGTCTCCAACTCCTGGCTTCAAGTGATCTGCTCAGCCTCCCAAAGTGTTGGGATTACAGGTGTGAGCTGCTGTGCCTGGCTGCTAGCTCTTTCCTTAACCATAACTAGTAAGATAGAAAATTCCTAAAAGGTCTCATTAAAGCTCTAATGGTTACAAACCACAGGAAAAAAACAAACAAAAAAAAGAAGCTCTAATGGTTCAGTTACATTATAATGCTGGTTAATGGTTATACTGTTACAAAATTTACCTTGTCTGCAATTTTACAGCAGCAGTCCATCCACAAGAAATCTTGAATTAAATCGTCATCTACAACAAAAGACAGCTATAACTTGTCTTTTAAAAACAGAATGTTTCCTTTTGAAGAATTAATTTATATGTCAAGAGATTATACACAGTACTTAGAAATAAAACAAAAATGAATGAATTAGGTATAACTGAAAACTAAGGTGTAGTTTTCAGTTCTTGGGTGTATTTACCATTGCAAGGATTGCACAAAAAACTACTGCCTTATCCTTCATCATCCCATCTGATTTGCCTTAATATATGGCTCGGACTGGAAGGGGAATGGTAGAAGTGTTTGGTTTACTTAATATCCAATAGTATTTTTAGCTTTGCATTCTTCTCTCCTATTTATCTCTATTCCACTTTCTGTTACTCAAATACATATGAAAATGTCTATATAAAAATGATTCATAATTCATTAGTTATTTATAATTAACATTTTGAAAAAACTATTAGGATAAAATAACCAACAAACACATTGTTTAAAGTAATAACATCTAGAAAGTAGGTAAAATATTTATTTCAATTTTAAAGGGTTAAACTATATAATCTCAAAATATATTAATAGTTGTCAGAATGTAATCTGAAAAATCTGCTTTTTTTCCATTCCCCCCCATCTTTTTTTTTTTTTAGACACAGGGTCTCATTATGTTGCCCAGGCTGGCCTTGAACTCCTGGGCTCAAGTGATCCTCTGGCTTCAGACTCCTGAGTAACTGGAACTACAGGAACATGCTGCCATGCCAGGCTCCTCTCCCTCATTTTAAGAAAAAAGGCACAACTTCTATTCATTTTTGTATAATAAACTATCATCAGTGTTGTCAAATACATGGGAAGCTCCAAGAATAACTACTGATTTCCCGAGAATAATAATTTCTGCCTTGATTTTTTTTTTTCCTTTTTTAAAGAGGGTCTCACTTTGTCAACCAGGCTGGAGTGCAGTGACATGATGTTGACTCACCTGTAGCCTCAAACTCCTGGGTTCAAGAGATCCTTCCACCTCAGCCCCCCAAATAGCTGGGATTACAGGTGCACGCCACCATGCCCAGATAACCTTTTTTGTATTGTAAAGAAGGGGTTTCGCCACTTTGCCCCAGGCTGATCTCGAACTCTTAAACTCAAGCAATCCACCTGCCTCTGCCTCCCAAAGAGCTACAGGTATCAGCCACCACACCTGGCATTTTATTTTCTTTTTTGAGAAAGAATCTTGCTCTGTTGCCCAGGCTGGGACGCAGTGGCATGATCTCAGCTCAACTGTAGCCTCCACCTCCTGGGTTCAGGTGATTATCTTGCCTCCCTCCCAGGTAGCTGGAATTATAGGCATATGCCACCATGGCCGATGGGGTTTCACCATGTTGGCCAGGATAGTCTCGAACTCTTGGCCTCAAGTGATCCGCCCCCCGTTGGCCTCCCAAAGTGCTGGTATTACAGGCATGAGCCACCTCGCCTGGCCTAGTAAATCTGTTTATATTTCTTATCTAAAATGGTACAGCCAGGTATTTTCCCTTGTATCTCATGATGAGTTTTGGGTACTAAAAAAGTTTGCAGGTAGTAATTTGGTTCTGCTCTTAATGAAAATAACTTTTATTAACATTCTAAATCCTGATGGTGAAGCATCTTTTTATCTTTTTCTACTTATATTCCTTATATTTTTCCTTTTACATCTTTTATTTTGTCCAATCTCATTTTTTCATTTCGCTTTTCTTTAAATCATAACTAGCTTGTTTTAATGCACCTGACCTTCCTCTAGAAACAAGGAAGCTTGTTATCTAGATCTACCAGACTGTAGCATCTACTTGACTTGATTCATGACTCCAACCACTTTTCAGAACTCATCTATCCTACCCCTTTTTCTAATCTGTTTACCTTATTACCCTACCTCAAAAAAAAAATTCCTCTTTCTTTGTTAGGAGTACAGTACTATAAAGAAGTTTCTTTTTGCCAATGTTACAAAATATATCAGTAAAGTAGCACTGTCTCATAACTGAAACAAATTCAAACTTAATTTCATTATGTGGACATGATAAAGCAAAAATTTTTTTTTTGAGATGGAGTTTCGCTCTTGTTACCCACGCTGGAGTGCAGTGGCATGCTCTCAGCTCACTGCAACCTCCGCCTCCTGGGTTCAAGCAATTCTCCTGCCTCAGCCTCCCGAGTAGCTGGGACTACAGGTGCACGCCACCATGCCCAGTTAATTTTTGTATTTTTAGTAGATACGGGGTTTCACCATGTTGACCAGGATGGTCTCGATCTCTTGACCTCGTGATCCACCCGCCTCGGCCTCCCAAAGTGCTGGAGTTATAGGCGTGAGCCACTGCGCCCGGCCTGATAAAGCATAATTTTTAACAATGTTCCCAAACTGTTATCCTGAAACTTCTCTAGTGTGACCAAGCTCCCTAGTTTTCTTGGGTTTAGCAGAGAAAGTCCTGAGAAACCCCTTAGGCTCAGTCAAACTGGGTCAGTTAGCTCACCTGTCTTTATGTAGTTTTTTACTTTAGGTCAAACAAACCTCATACTATGGGCTATGAAGTTGAATTGTTCAGAATTTACATTTGGCATATGGATTTAAGTAGTCTAGAAGCTAGATGAATATGAATTTTTAATCCATAAGGAAGCAAAACAAACAAAAACCCAATATTAAAAATAAAAAAGACTAAAACAAAAACAAATTTGGTTGGAGACGGGAAATTTAATACAAAAATAATGATATCCTCTTTGATCAGTACGAAAACAATTAGATGTTTACATTCTAGGTTTTTAGTTCTTTATAACTACTGCTATTAAAATATTTTAAACCTACCAAATAATTTAAAGAAAGCAGTCATTTCCTGACGCTGTATAACCAGACAAGGTCCTTTGGGGCGTTTAGATTTGTTGTTATTATGTGTATTTTTATCAGATGCTTGCCAATTATCTTTAAAAATAGGACGCTTCAGAGTAGCGGCCTTTTTAGGTGGATGTGATCTATTTGACCCTGATTTTACATAAACAGTGACGGTAGGTGGTGTCTCACAACACATCTGATTGTGCCTCATTTTGGTTTTCCAATATTCCTGTAAAAATAAAACATACAATTATTCATCACATGCATACATTTTATATAAAACAATTGGATGATACTACCATATGAAGTCATATAAAATGTTACTAAACTTGCCATTAAAATATTATTTGTGACAGTGACCCCCATAAAATTGCTTTTGAAATCCAGTGCTAGGAAAAGCTATGCTTCCTTTGAGTAACAAATATACATCCTCTTCCTAAATAATAAGATACTGTATGCCATTTTGCTTTGGCTACAGAACTCAACACCAAATTGAAAGTTAATTATAGAAATGATGCTGACTTTATAATTTATTTGTGGTCTTTTTTCCTGCTAACATTTCTATTCTGTTTGAATTGACATAATTTTATCATAAGGTTGTTATATGCTACCTCAAATTTTTTATAAACAAGGAAAACTGGGCTGGGCATGGTGGCTCACGCCTGTAATCCCAGCACTTTGAGAGGCCAAGGTGGGCGGATCACGAGGTCAAGAGATCGAGACCATCCTGGCCAACATGGTGAAACCCCATCTCTATTAAAAAAAAAAAAAAATATATATATATATATATATGTAAAACAACAACAACAACAAAAAAACAAGGAAAACTATTTCCAGAACTTATTATCAAGTATTATATTACAAAGCACCCCCCGACACACAAAAATCCCATATCTCCTTATTGGTAAACTCCTTGATATATTATAAAATGCACCTATTCAATAAGCATTTTTTGGTATTTATTGAAAAGTTGAAATCAATTCTAGCAAAAAATATAGAAGTGCTTTGAAGGCTTTTCATAAATTGGTCGAATTTTTATTTTACTTATTGACTTGTTTTCTTCTTTTCCTTTTTTTCGTGTGTGTGTGTGTGTGTGTGTGTGTGTGTGTGTGTGTGTGTGTGTGTGTGTGTGTGTCAGGATCCTCCTCTGTCACCCAGACTGGAGTATGCTCACATGATTACAGCTCACTGCAGCCTCAACCTCCTGGGCTCAAGTGATCCTCCCATCTCAGGCTTCCTTGTAGCTGGGACCACAGGTGTGTGCCACCACACCTGGCTAATTTTTAAATATTTTTGTAGAGGTGAGGTCTCACTATGTTGCCCAGGCTGGTCTCAAACTGCTGGGCTCAAGCAATCCTCTTGCCTCAGCCTCCCAAAGTGCAGGAATTACAGGCTTGAGCCACCATGACTGCCCTGGTCTAAAGTAAGAGTATGACAAAGCTATTTGAATGACTGATTATAAGTGTATATGAATGAATGTTGTTATAATCTAATAAAATTTGAGACATGGCTGTGCGTGGTTGATCACACCTGTAATCCCAGCACTTTGGGAAGCTGAGGTGGGTGGATCACGAGGTCAGGAGATAGAGATCATTCTGGCCAACATGGTTAAATCCTGTCTCTCCTAAAAAAAAAAAAAAACCACAAAACTTAGCCGGGTGTGGTGGCATACACCTGTAATCCCAGCTACCTGGGAGGCTGAGGCAGGAGAATCGTTTAAACCAGGGAGTCGGAGGTGTCAGTGAGCCGAACCTGGGGCCACTGCACTCCAGCCTGGCGAAAGAGGGAGACTCCATCTCAAAAAAAAAATTTTTTTGAGACAAAGTTAATCTATCAATATTTAACAATATATATAATCATCACCTTCTTTGGTGGTGATTAGTTCACATAATTACTACAGTTAGTATTATTTTTGTGGTCAAATATTTCTAGCATAATGGGAAATGGAGGTATGAATAAATAACACAGGAAACTACTCTAGGACCCTACTGAGAACCTCTGAATGCAATCTCACAGTGGCTCAGACAGCCATACTTCCCTTGGTGTTCAAGGAGTGAGATAGATACAGATTGCCCTTCCTGACTCTCTGAAATTTCCCTGTTGAAGGAAGGACTGGAAAATAAGATTGGACATAGTGAGGCTACAGCAGCACTATCCAATACAATGCAAGCCACATATGTAATTTTGTATTTTTAGAGCCACCTTACAAAACAGATAAAATTACTTTTAATAATATAGTTTATGTAACCCAATATGTCCAAAATACCATTTTAACAAGTAATCAATACAAAAATCAATGAGAGGCTGGATGTGGTGGCTCACACCTGTAATCCCAGCACTTGGGGAGGCCAAGGTAGGCGGATCATGAGGTCAGGAGTTTGAGACCAGCCTGGCCAACATGGCAAAATCTCGTCTCTACTAAAAATACAAAAATTAGCCATTTTTGGTGCTGAGCACCTGAAGTCTCAGCTACTCGGGAGGCTGAGATGGGAGAATTGCTTGAGGTTGCAGTGAGCCAAAATTGCACCACTGCACTCCAGCCTGGGCAACAGAGCAAGACTCCATCTCAAAAAAAAAAAAAAAAAAAAATCAATGAGATAGTTCACATCCTAAGTCTTTGAAATCTGCTGTGCATTTTCTACTTACAACATATATCAATTTTTTTTTTGTTAGATGAATATGCTTACACACAAATCTCAATTCTGACACTAATTTTTCAACAGTAAAAGTGAAAGCCAGTCCTATTTAAAAAATAATTTGTAAGAAAAAAAATGTTCCTTCAGTTTTCAGATTTAAAGTAAAAATTAAATTATTCAGTTTCAAGTGTTTAATAGCCACAAGTGGCTACCATGTTTTAAAAAAATTATTTAAAAATTATTTTTTGTAGATAGTACAGGGCTACATTTTGAAGAACTAGGCAGAGAAAATTATACTTATCTAATTGTTCCTCTCATCCCACCTTTCTTCCTAGATCCTAAGGTCCTGCCAAATTGAAGGCAATTATGTACTTGGGGTGTGGGATATAAACTCCATAGAAAGAGGAATAGGTGGTAAACTGAGCCCTGAGACTTAAGAATTTTCTGCTCTTTTCTGCCCATCTCATCTGGAAAACAGCTGGAGGTCTCATCTGCACATTTTTTTCAAAGTAAGAGCAGCAGCCTTAAGTCTAGATAGAAAAAAGTAAATAGTGGTCAGGCTTCTCAAATTCTAGGGTGGAGTTATCAGTGGTACCGTGGCTAAGAATTCTTCTTCAAATTTGAGTGTTGGGGCTAGACCTGGGTGGAATGTACCAAACACAAATAACTGTGGCACATTTTCCAGGAGGTTTTATTCAATGGTAAGTAACCTAAAATAGTGCTTTTATATGAAAACCACCATGGATATTCATAAATTATAATGCAAATTTTCGATCAATCAAAAAGGTAAAATATGTCCACAGTAGGCGTCTTTATTCCACTAAAGCCTTGTGTATGTGTTGGGATATTTCATATAAAATATCAGAAAACTGAATGAGAAGAAAATGTCTGAAATTCTCCAAGTAGAAATTCATTGATGTTAATAAGCAAATACTGGCAGGAAAGTTGTGTAGAACAAGCTGAAGGAGAGAAGCTATCAATGCTACAGTCTTGGTCAAGTTCTACCTAGGGGTATCTTTTCTTTCTTTTTTTTTTTTTAATTTATAATAAAACAAGAGATTTAATTAGCTCACAATTCTGCAAGCTGCTAGGGATATCTTTTAATTTTGCTCTTCATTTAGATACACTAAGAGAATGAGAGTTCTGATAGCAAGAGGAAAAGAATGAAAATCAAAATACGAGCCATTTTAGAAAGAGCAAGAGATGGGGAAAGAAGAAGTAGGAGAAACTATGCTCACCAGTAAAATCTTTCTTTTCTTTTTTTTTTTTTTGAGACGGAGTTTCGCTCTTGTTGCCCAGACTGGAGTGCAATGGCACAATCTCACTGCAACCTCTGCCTCCTGGGTTCAAGCGATTCTCCAGCCTTAGCCTCCCAAATAGCTGGGACTACAGTCACCTGCCATCACACCTGGCTAATTTTTATATTTTTAGTAGAAACGGGGTTTCGTTTCTATTTTTTATATAGGACTGGATTTCACTTTTACCATTGAAAAATTAGTAACAGAATTGAGATTTGTATGTAAGCATATTCATCTAAAGTAACAAAAAACTGTGCTAGACTTCCCAAAGCGCTGGGATTACAGGCATGAGCCACTGCGCTTGGCCTCCTTTAATGAACTTTTATATGGATTCCATGAACATTAAAAAAAATCATGCCAGAATTCATACTTGAATAGGATGTCTGGATTTTTTTCTTCTCTCTTTTTTTAGTAAGTGAATCATAAAAATTCTAGAGGCATCTGAAATCTCTTCTTTTGGGGTTAATATAAAGGGTGGTGGTTCACAGCTATAAAATGAAACAAGCAGAAGTTGTTTGGGGATTCATTTGCCTATATGAAAAACCTACTGGCAATATCCATTGGCAACTCAGTCAGGACAAGCAGGTAAGCTTTAACTTCCTTATGAGTGCAGTCGCGCACTGAGAGTATGTACCAGACACTCTTGAATATGTTACATGTATTATCTCATTTAATTCTCAAAACATTTCTTTGTGGTAGGTATTATTTTATCCTTATTTTCTAGATGAGAAATTTGAGGCTTAAAGAAGTTAAGAAATTTGCCCAAAGGCTCATAATTAAGTGATAAAGCTAGAATTTGAATGCAGAACTGATATCAAAGTCCCATATTCTTTAACCACTAAATAACTTTTAAATATTAAATAAAATCACGTGTAAAACACTTGACACATAGTAAGCAATCAAATTTTACTTATTGTCTGTTACTTTGCCAAGGAAACAAAACCAGCTAACCCTAGCTATAAGGCTACTCATATATACTTTTGTGTATATATATATATATGTTTTTGGTTTTTTTTTTTTGAGATGGAGGCTTGTTCTGTCACCCAGGCTGGAGTGCAGTGATGCGATATCGGCTGACTGCAACCTCACCCTCCCTGGTTCAAGCAATTCTCCTGCCTCAGCCTCCCGAATAGCTGGGATTATAGGCAAGTGCCACTACATCAGGCTAATTTTTTTTCAATTATTTTTCTGAGACGAAGTCTCCGTCTGTTGCTCAGGTTGGAGTGCAGTGGCGCAACCTCCGCCTCCTGGGCTCAAGAGATTCTCCTGCCTCGGCCTCCTGATTAGCTGAGATTACATCCCGAGTTTCCTGTGATGATTAATACCCAGTCTTGACCACACCTGGCTAATTTTCGTATTTTTAATAGAGATGGGGTTTCACCATGTTGGTCAGGCTGGTCTCGAACTCCTGGCCTCATGATCCTCCCATCTTGGCCTCCCAAAGTGCTGGGATTACAGGCGGTGAGCCAAGCTGGCTGCAAATGTAATTTAAATGTTAAAATTGTATTGATAACAGAGATGCTGTATTTAAAACATAACAATTTGTAAATCGATATGATCTCAATGTCTGCAGAGCATGGGCTTATCAGCCTTTCAAAGACTGACTGACAGGGTCTCGCTCTGTCGCCCAGGCTGAGGTGCAGTGGTGACAACACAGCTCACTTCGGCCTCCGCCTCCTGGGCTCAGATGATCCTCCCGAGTCGCTAGGACCACAGGTGCGTGCCACCGTGCCCGGCTAATTTTATTTTATTTTTTTTGGGATGGAGTTTCACTCTGTCGCTCAGGCT